ACCGATGCCGGTAGCGGCAAAAACCTGCGGGGAACTCTGCAAAAAACGCATCTTCGCACGGGCAGCACGTGCGTTGGCCATTTATTAAGTTTTGAAGAGGCTGTCTTCTTCATCTGGACACGTAGAACCAACTTTTACACAAGTCCCAGTCTTAGGTATGGCTGCGTGAAAGATTCGACGTAAAAGTTGTTTATTCGAGAACTAGAGGACAAGCTAGAAATTTGGAAATTTAAGGGGTTACTTCTTATTCGTCTGCAATTTAAAGATCTTAGATGGAGTTCCTAAGCACGCTAGATTTTCACTTACGCGTACTGGAAATTTTGGCGATGAAATTTATAAATTGGGAACCACAGAAATTAGAATGCTGAAATTTTAGAAGATGTTTCTTAGTCCAAGTACAATTTGAACATTTCAAATCCAGTTTTTAAGGAAGTTTAGTTCTCTTTACGGGACAAGGCGGATTTTCGAAGGGAAAATAGCTTATTCTAATACCACAGGAAAAGCTGGAAAGCTAGAATTTCATCAGCATGCGATCTATTGATTTCAAATTCAATTTCTAAGTATTCCTGGTTTCAGTGCCTATGTATCTGAAATTTTTGGCTAAAAAACTGCTAATTCGGCAACCAGAGTAGCTAGGTAATTTTCAGTAAATGGTCGGTAGTCGGACTTCACGAAAAATTCGCTGCAACTTATGGTGAAGTGTGCAAGTTAAATTTAGAGCAACAGTGTAGAGCAATCATCCGCACGGCCAATGATCCGATTGCTTCAAGTTCAGCGCAAAATCGCATGATCACATGCTAAGCCTGTGTGCCGCTGTTTTGGTTTATAATCTTTACATTTTCTACTTTAAACACATGTGAAACATAAGAACACGTGAAAACTTAAACTTTTGGAGGCTGAATATAAGCAAAATTCTCCTAAAGCGCTGCCTTTGTAGCGTTCTGGTTGCTCGTTGGAAACTCTCGGCAAAAATTCAAACAAATGCACATACATACACGCGCATACCCACACCACCCACACAAAAAGATCCGGGACATTATAGCACAAAACACATAAAAACGAATGCTGGGAAAAATGATAAGGAGTGCGTTCTCGGTTCAGAAATTCACACTCCAAACCAACGTCGCAGCTTCAGTGTAATGCGGGAAAAATAAGAGAACATACAAATGTGCTGGATTGTTTCAACAACATATATTTTGTTTCGCATATCGTAGCACTTTTTGAACAAGCCACATTTATGATGAAGTGGACAGTCTTCATCAGCAATGCATTCCCCTGAAACATTGGAAAATGGTACACTTGGCTCTGAAGAATTCATATGCTGCCCCCAGTGTAGGGGTAGAAACTTCAGTTCTGCTAAAAGTATGATCAGTCTTTCATCAATTTGCACATTTGCTTTTGCAGTTGATTTTAATTAACGCATAAAAGAAAGACAATACTGCTGTCAGCCTGGCTCATATGTAGTCGTTGGAAGAAAGGGCCATCTAGCGCCCTGCCAGAGCACGACTCTTTTTTGACATATGCTGCCACCTAGGCTGCTTCCGGTGCAAAAGCTTTCATACAGATTTATTACTGAACGAATTTTGGTTTTAACGCCAATAGATATTCACTCCGTTGAAATACGACGCAGAAGTGTCCAGAACATTTGCTGAAGTATAACTTTTTTAAAGAATAACATTTATTCTTTAAATGAGCTCATATACTTACAGTTTCCTAAAGACAGCTTTTTCATTAGCGGCGGCCGAGGTTTACATGTGCCGTGTCTGCAGATGTGCCCTTTCTGGCAGTCGGCATCGGCATAACAGACTGAAAAAACGACTCTCCGGTAAAATTCTCGTTTCTTGGCTTGTGGTATTTTATGCATTTTTATGCGTTTTTGCTGGCTGTAGCAGCACTATAGCGCTGCTACAAACAGCAAAAAAGCATATTGCCGAGAGGCTGTCTGTGTGTGTGTGTGTTCGCAAAGCGAGTGCATTTTGTCACCCACTTTCAACTCG